ACTGAAAAAAATTGAGAGCACGTATCACTTTCAATTTGCTAGAAAATGTAATTAAAAACAGCGTCAAAATGAACTTAGCTTCGATTTGATGGTTCTGATCAGAAACTTAAAATCTTATATTGAATGGTAATAAAGTTTTCAATATGGAGAGTCTCACACAATTGTCCCGAGCACTTCATAAATGAAGAACTGGACAAGATTGTTTGAGAAACCTAAGGAAAAAATTTACATACTTGATAATGTTAATTGTAATAAAGCTACGACCCGAGAATTCGTTTTGGTTATTTTGATCAATGCGGTCCGTTTTATCCAATAAATAATGACAGTACGGGCACTATTAATAAACATCTCGCAGAATGTCAAAGATATAGTTTAAATTAAATACGGCACACATACAGTCATTTTTATTTTAGTTTAGCCGGGATCACTTCTTTAATGGTTAAGTGGGCATAATCCCAATGCTCAAAATGAAAAATTTATCAAAATTAATATGGTTCGATTGACACCAAGCCATTAATCGACATCTTAGCAAATGAGGCGTCTAAAGAATTTGAATGTCATTTTACGGGCAAGGGTACGATTGTTACAAGTTCAAGTATCGTTCACGTTTTAGGATAGATGTTAAAGATTCTTGAATTAATATTTCTAATAATTAGTTATTTAATTCCGGGATAGTATAAAATTGACGAAAAATGGTTTGCATTTTCCTTATAGCTTTTAATTGTCATTTGATTTGCATTAACGATTATTTAGAAAAATACATTTGATTTTTATAAGAGCTAATCACTTAAAAAGCGGACTTTATCTTTGAATACAAATTGAAAGTCATTATTTCAAAAGGAATTGGATACTAAGTAATATATTAAACGACAAAATCCTACCTTCAGTTTAAGTTTAGCACCATATCATTGCTTAAAATAAAATTTTTTTGAACTTTGTAAGTAGAATATTGTTGGTAATGATAAATATGACAGTAAGTCTATATATAAATTTAGGTATATTTTTTTTTTTTTTTAAAAAAAAAAGCTTTCGAACTCCAAAGTATAAATTTATCGATTCCTCAATTATAATGACTAGGCTTTTCATTGCTCTTGTAATTGGCGTATACCAAACATTATAATTTTTACTATCATCAAAATATAAATTACAAAAAAAAGTTTTTTTTTTTTATAAATTTCATAAATGGAAACAAGTTTTACAATAAACATTTACATCCATAGTTTATTTTAAAATTAATTTATCGTTATCATTATTCTCTATTATTTTGTTGCATTAAGAGATTATCCAAACTTTCTTTATACCAATAAATAGCATCGTTAATACTTTTTTCTGTTCCCTCACCTTTTTCATACAAATTTGCAAGACATTTTTGCGCATTGCTATTTCCTCCTTCAGCAGCTGATTTAAATAAATCAAATGCCTTATTTTTATCAACGTCAACAACAATTCCATGCTCATAATAATATCCAACCTTATATTGAGCCTCCAAATATCCTTGATTAGCCGATTTCTTAAAAAATTCAAATGCTCTCACGAAATTTTTACAAACAGCTTTTCCTGTTTCGTAAATTTCACCTAATTTATATAATGCAACATTATTGTTATCATTTGCAGCTATATGATACCAATAATTAACTTTATCTAAATCACTAACTAAACTATTAAAAGACAATTTGTGTACATCAAAATCTTGAATTCCGGCTGCCTCGTTATATAATTCCAATCCCCTTTTTTTATTAATTTCCGTTCCAATTCCATTAATATAGCAATCACCAAGCTGAAATTTTGCATCTATATCTCCTTGATTAGCAGCTTTTTGATAATATTCAAATGCTTTCAGCACATCCTTTTCCACACCATTACCTAATTCATAAAATTCGCCCAAATTATACTGTCCAACTTTAAATCCTTTTTCAGCAGCTTTCTGATACCAATACAAGGATTTTTCTGAATTCTTTTCCGATCCTTCACCAACTTGATATAAAATGCCAAGAATAACTTGTGCGTCTTCATGTCCATTTTCTGCAGCTTTCTGATACCAATAAAAGGCTTTTTCTGGATTTTTCCGTACCTTCACCATTTCGATATAAACATCCAAGATTAAATTGTGCGTCTTCATGTCCATTTTCTGCAGCTTTCTGATACCAATAAAAGGCTTTTTCTGGATTCTTTTCCGTACCTTCACCAATTTGATATAAAATGGCAAGAATAACTTGTGCGCTTATATTCCCATTTTCAGCAGCTTTCTGATACCAATAAAAAGATTTTTCTGGATTTTTTTCCGTACCATCACTATTTCGATATAAACATCCAAGATTAAATTGTGCATCTTCATGTCCATTTTCAGCAGCTTTCTGATACCAATAAAAGGCTTTTTCTAGATTCTTTTCCATACCTTCACCATTTTGATATAAAATGCCAAGATTAAATTGTGCGTCTTCATGTCCATTTCAGCTGCTTTCTGATACCAATAAAAGGCTTTTTCTGGATTTTTTTCCGTACCTTCACCATTTCGATATAAACATCCAAGATTAATTTGTGCGTCTTCATATCCATTTTCAGCAGCTTTCTGATACCAATACAAGACTTTTTCTGGATTCTTTTCCGTACCATCACCATTTTGATATAAAATGCCAAGAAAAACTTGTGCGATTATATGACCATTTTCAGCAGCTTTCTGATACCAAGAAAAGGCTTTTTCTGGATCCTTTTCCGTACCTTCACCATCTTGATATAAAATGCCAAGATTAACTTGTGCGTCTTCATGTCCATTTTCAGCTGCTTTCTGATACCAATAAAAGGCTTTTTCTGGATTCTTTTCCGTACCTTCACCATTTCGATATAAACATCCAAGATTAAATTGTGCGATTATATGCCCATTTTCAGCAGCTTTCTGGTACCAATAAAAGGCTTTTTCTGGATGTTTTTCCGTACCATCACTATTTCGATATAAACGGCCAAGATTAAATTGTGCGTCTTCATGTCCATTTTCAGCTGCTTTCTGATACCAATACAAGGCTTTTTCCGGATTCATTTCCGTACCTTCACCATCTTGATATAAACATCCAAGATTAAATTGTGCATCTTCATGTCCATTTTCAGCAGCTTTCTGATACCAATAAAAGGCTTTTTCTAGATTCTTTTCCATACCTTCACCATTTTGATATAAAATGCCAAGATTAAATTGTGCGATTATTTGCCCATTTTCTGCAACTTTCTGATACAAAGGAAAGGCTTTTTCTGGATTCTTTTCCGTACCTTCACCATCTTGATATAAAATGCCAAGATTAACTTGTGCGTCTTCAAGTCCATTTTCAGCAGCTTTCTGATACCAATAAAAGGCTTTTCCTGGATTCTTTTCCGTACCTTCACCATTTCGATATAAACATCCAAGATTAAATTGTGCGATTATATGCCCATTTCAGCAGCTTTCTGATACCAATAAATGGCTTTTTCTGGATTCTTTTCCGTACCTTCACCATTTCGATATAAACATCCAAGATTAAATTGTGCGATTATATGTCCCTTTTCTGCAGCTTTCTGATACCAATAAAAGGCTTTTTCTGGATTCTTTTCTGTACCTTCACCATTTAGAAATAAACTGCCAAGTGTAAACTGTGCACTACTGTCTCCTTTATTAGCACATAAGTAGATTGGTGAATTTGGTGAGTTAGTTGGAATATTATAGCAATAATTTTCTGATAAAGAGTTGGGTGAAGTTGGTATGCTCGATATTTCAGAATTTTTACAGTCGAGTACTTTTAAATTTCGATGACTTTGTAATATATCTGAGGCGTTCAATTCGTTATCTTTATTAGTATCTGTAATAGTTAAATTATCAATATTATCACAAATAATTAATTCAAGATGTCGAATCCTCTCTTCTAATTTATTAATATTTACTTGCTTGGCTTTGGCTTCATCTTCTTGTTCTCTAACTTTTTCTTCTAACTTATAAATAGTTTCTTTCTTGAATTTGGTTTCTTCTTCTCGCTCTCTAACCTTTTCTTCTAAATATTTGAATTGTGAAAGTAACCCTTCGTAATTTAGCTCTAATTCCTTAATTCTCGTTTCCAAGTCTTTTAGGGCTTTTTCTTTTAAAACCATTTTTTTTTATTTTGTCTTGCATAGAGAATTACCAATAGAGAATTATCTTTTACCAGCCCTCGGTTTAAATTTTTCCCATTTGTAATTCTTTCCATAAATGATCTAGTCTGCTCGTATTAAAAAGGATTTAACCGGATCGTCTTACCAAATAAAGTTAAGTGTACTGTCTATTGTAAATTCCAATTATAAGCGAAGAAAAAAAAATACATTGCTTTAATTTATTTATATAAATTGCCTAATTATTATGGTTATTTTTTTTTGTAATGGCATATGATGAAAATAAACCTATAAATTTGTTTTTATAATAACATACATTTATCTCATGACATTAGTAATCTACTTATTTTCTACATTGTTTAATCGCCACCATGTAAATAAATAAAAGTAAAAATATTCGATGAACACTTGAAAACATAAATGCTCGTATCAACAAATTTTACACAAAGCAAGGAAAGAAGACTTGATACGTGTAGAATATAGAGTTGAGAAAGTAATGACAAATTATTTGAAATAGTCACGTGAGGTAATGTTAAGAAAGAATTTCTGAGAACGGTATTCTGAAAATTTTTGGAACAACTAATTTGTAAGACTTTTCTTTCGAAAAGAATCACAAAAAAAAGACGAGTCATCAAATGCTTCTCTAAAACGTTCAATAATTTAAATCGTCATCAATTTTTCATCCTGATGCAGTTTTTTATTTAGATAGCAATTATGAAGAAAGTAAAAGAATATGATAAGTATATAAACCAGTGTTGTGAAGTGATATGAAATAACACATATGACACTAATGACATGTCACGTATCATTATGTCATTCAGAGAACAAATGACAAGCATTTGAAATTATGTCATGTGACTTGTAATTTCGGCCAGAATTAATTAATTTTATACATATTAGCAATGCTTAGTACTATTTATCATAAAATGTAAAAATCCTTTATTTAAACAAAATTTATCACTGAACAATATAAATTGGAGCTTCTAAAGCCTCATTAAACAAACCAAGTAAATTCCATTTAGCCAATGGATTATCTGCTAGATGAATATCATACCCGCCTGCCTCAAAATCATTAGTTTTTTCAACTAACGCTTCATTATTATTTAAATTATTTTCTGTATTAACCATTTCAATCCAATTTTCAACCATTTTAGTCCAATGTTCAGGATTAAGAACATTATTGTTATTAGTTTCTTTAATAGTATTATCATTAATGTCTTGATCTATTGAATAAATATAATAATAAAATTAGTAAATATTAAATATTAAATAATGAATAAAATATTATACGAAATGGCTTTAACAGCCTTTTTTCATAAAAAAATCATACAAAATCATACAAAATGGCCATAATAGCCTTTTTTTCATAAAAATCATATGAAATTATACGAAACAATCATAACGGCCTTTTTTATAAAAAAATTGTATGTATGATGTTTATTTTACCTGTTTCAGATTCTTCAGTATCACTATCATTAAAAGCATTAAATGTAAATTTATCATCATCATTTTCTTCTGATTGATCTTTTTAAATTGGTTTAGCAATATGCAATCGCTTATATTATCATTCAGAATTTCACATTTTCTCTTACATAATATATTACTTTGTAATTGAGCCATAGCCAAAACCTTTTTATATTATAAAAATATTAATTTATATTATTAATTTGATTATATATAATAGATTCATTATTTTAATAAATATACTTATATGCAATTTATTTTGATGTTTTGAAAGAGCTGCAATAGTTTATCATTATTTACTAATAATTGATGTAGAAGCATCGACAACTAAGCTATTTTTATATTGTTTTATGTCATAATCAGTCATTGTTTCTTCATCAGGAAAGCTGACCTTAATATTGAGTGTTTGTTCAATTATCTCCATTTATTTCATAGTAGAGCTCAAGGTAAATGTGAGATCATCAAGTTTTAGAATGAGTTACAGGAAACTAGCTTTGATGAAATCTTTAAAATCATCATCAGTATTTTGCTCATGCATAGAGCCTCTTGCTTTCGTTCCTATAGAGATATCATGTAATCTGTATTGTTATTAATAGAAATGATTGTATTGTTGATCTATATTCAGAGAGATATTATCACTCCAATCTAGTGATAAGGTAGGTGATTATTTTAGGGGATTATTGTTAGTATTCTTTAGCACAGAACATGAATTTGTGAGCTTACTAGTCAGTTTGGTTAGTTTCTGAGAACCATCTGTGATGATGTTAGTGAAAGTGATATTAGGGCTAATAGCTTTTTTACGAAGATGAATTGGAGCTTTATAATTGTTATATTATACCAGTTGAAATCATTGATATAATTGTTAGATGCTTTTATCTTGAGAAGTATGACATTTTTTTAAACAATCTTTGATTTTGTGATGCGATAAGAAGCAGATAGTACATAATTTGACTTTAGTCTCAGTCCATTCTACGTGTTTGCTATTGATGGTAAAATTATCATTACTGATTGCTACTTTATAGTCATTAGCTGAAGAAAAATAAAAAAACACATGTTGTAAATTATGATAATTCAATCTGATCTTAGAAATAATCAAGCTATAGCATTAACCATCAATCCTAATTCAAATAAGTCTTTACTCATAGTGTAATGAGGAAGACATATTAGTTTAGCTGAGAATTTAAATCGTTTTAAGATTTTATCACACAGAATGTCACACATATAGAAATGAACTATATTGTTAAGAAGAAAGACACTGTGACCTTTCTTAAATTTAATAAAATTAGCGTCTGAATCGTATATGATCATAGCTTATTGCCAGAGGTTTTTTGTTTCTATATTAAATCTGATGATCTTACTAAATCGGGAGAGATTTTTTTGATATGCATTTCTGTACATCCAATTGGATTTCAGTAACTTTGATTAATTGTTATAGAATAAATGAATGTTTTAGCATGATTTTGAGGGATAAAAACATGTGATTTTTTAAATTAGGTAGATTAATTTTGCAAAACGTGTCCCTTTCATCCGATTGGTCCTCAGGGTATTTAATAAATACTACATCTAAAAATAAGTCAAACTGATCGAAAATAAGGTTAGTAATATCAGAGATTATTGTTTGAGGAAATTTTTTCAGGGTAATTGTTCACTGAGAAAATGCGAAAAAATTCATTTTTTTAGTGAAAATTTCTTGAGAGCTTTTCTTATTATTCAAAAAATTGTCTGAGGTATCATTAGTGTAATTGACATTTATGAATACTTGGTTAAGAGTGACAACTAGAGTTGTTTCACCTGTCAAAACTTCTTTGCCTTTCCTTTATCAAGCGAAAGAGGGTTAATGTCTATAATAACTGGAGTTTCTTTGTTGTTGTTATTAGTAGAAATACTACTTTTAGGTTCAGTAGTTTGTAAAATATTCTGTCTTTTACTTAGTTGTTGCTCTGAAGTGTTAGAATGAGAGCAAGATTGTTGTTTTTATTAGGTTTTATTATTCTCTTTCTTTGGTCTGCCCATGTTGTGAAAAGAATCCTTATAAAAAATAAAAATATTTTTTTTTTTTAGTATTCAATATATCAGAGAGGTCATATAACAAAAGAATGACACACACGAGTCATGTAAATCCTTACTACTGCTAATACAATTTCTAGGAAGATCATGATTGACTCAATTATCAGCCCTAATCTCATTAATACACTGATCTAAAGATTGTCACCCAGGTGACCTTCCAGAAGCAGAACCCCCAAGGTCACTAGATCTTAAAACCACTGTTAAATTTGGATAAAAGGATCACTTTCAGTTACAGATACTTTTAGTTGATTATATTTTCTGTCTTTATCAATACCAATTAGAATCGCTATTACCTCTGTCTGATATCAGGATTTTATATATGATCAGGAAGGCTTAAATATTATCATCTTTATAAAATCTGAGAAAGGTAAGTGGCTATTATATCTATATTATCAAATGCATCTAGTAATTAAACCTGGCCTCTACTCCAATTGACAATTCAATTGGATAGTTTTACGGTGTGACGGGTAAAATTTTAGATAGATTTAATTGGTAGAATAGAAAGTCAATTTTATTGCCATGTAGATCTTCTA